AAGAAATATGCAATTTGAAATGGGTAATACATATAAACGTATTTTAGGTTGCGATTTTAACATAATGCATTGAAAAACAGTGTTTTGCAAAAGAGGTGGATATAATTTGAAGCCAGGGGTTATTCCAACGGTATTTTCACCGCTCTGCACCAATGTAGAAAATATCAGTAGTCCATCCTTGCCGCGCAATAACAATATATACATAGAGGTTAAGGGCCAAGAAAAAGCTGAAAAATATGAAGTGAATGATCTTTATAAAAAAATCCAATCTTTGGAGTTGGATATGTAAGTAAAAAAATTTATAAATCTATTATTGAAGTATTTTCTTATATATCTATACTAATTATATAAAGAGAAGTCCCTTTTTTTTGTAACAGGTAATCTCGCGAACGGCTGGTCCGATTTTCATAAAATTTTGTATACAAATAGCTTTCGGTAACCACCATGTTTTAGGCTAAAAAAATTTTACTTTTTTTCGGGTAAGTGGACCAGGGACCGGTCTATTCGAAAAAATCTTATTATAGTCCGATTTGCTTAAAATTTAGTACGTAAGTAGCTTTCTAGCATATATTAGCATATATGACCCATTTTTTCCGGGAAGTGGTCCAGGGACCTATCTATTCGAAAAAATCGAATTTACGGTCCGATTTGCTTAAAATTCGGTGCGCAGGTAGCTTTTTAGCATGTGTTAGCATATCGCATTTATGGTCCGATTTGCTTAAAATTCGGTACGTAAGTAGTTTTTTAGCATATATTAGGATATATGGTCCATTTTTTCCGAGAAGTATACCAGGGACCGATCTATTCCAAAAATCGCATTTATGGTCCGATTTGCTTAAAATTCGGTACGTAAGTAGTTTTTTAGCATATATTAGGATATATGGTCCATTTTTTCTGAGAAGTGGACCAGGGACCGATCTGTTCGAAGAAATCGTATTTATGGTCCGATTTGCTTAAAATTTGGTACGTAGGTAGCTTTTTGCCTGGATAAGCTTATAGATTCCTGTTTTCCAATTTTCATGCAATTTCGAATATAAATAGCTTTAAGTAACGACCATATCAAGGGGAAAATTCGTCACTAGGCAAGATTTTTTTGCGCCAATCAGAAACAACGGACACTGTCAAAATATAATAATAATATATAATATATCTCAACTAATATATATTTAGAAAGCCGTTTGTTAGATTTCGCAAGGCTCGAGAGCGGCTGAACCGATTTTTTTTAAACTGCCACCTGCCGCACGTGTCCCAAGGATGGTTTTAGGCTTGAAAAAAATCTATATGTAAAGGGGGCGTGGCACTTCCCATACAAACCGAATTTCTCATGCTACATATCTCTGAAAGTGTGCATGGTAGAGTTTTGGAAATTGGTATGGAGATATACGAAATCAATCGCATACCCTTGGAGAAAAATTTTAGCTATTGTAAAAAGGGGTGTGACATCTCCTATACAAACCGAATTTTTCATACTGCTTATCTCTGGAAATTTTTTGGTAGAGTTCTAGAATTTTGTATGGAGATGTACGAAATAAATCGCATACTCTTGGAGAAAAATTGGAAATATTGGAAAAGGGGTCGTGGCATCTTCCATACAAACCGAATTTTTCATACTGCCTATCTTTGGAAGTGTTCATGGTAGAGTTCTGGAACTTGGTATGGAGATATACGAAATCAATCGCATACTCATGAAGAAAGAGGGCAGCTCTTGGAAAGGGGGGCGTGGCACCTCCCTTATAAATCGAATTTTTATACTGCATATCTCTGAAAGTATTCATGGTACAGTACTGGAACTTCGAATGGAGATATGTATATAGTTGAAATCAAGCCCATACTCATGGAGAAAATTTGGGCTATTTGAAAAGGGGTGTGAGGCCTACAAACGTACCGACCTTTAGCTATCTTTGAATGAATTTTTTTATTCTTCTGTAGGTGTGTTTGTGAGTGATCTCCTCCTAAATGGTTGTACGGATTTTAACGAAACTTTTTGTGTATTTGAGTGGGTCTCTGGATGGTTTAGTTTCACAATTTAATCCGACAGTTGGCGCTGTAGTTGAGTTATTACTAAAAATCTTATTTATGATCCGATTTGGCTAATGTTTTAAATATGTATGCAATACTATTGCAAAAACGTGCTGCCAAGTGGTGCTGAAGTCGAGCTATTACTAAAAATAGCCAAGTGAGAAAAGGGGACGTGAAGGTCAGATTAAATCGACCTGTTGCACCATTGAGTATATCGAACGCTCCTGCGTTGCAATTGGCCCAATGGATGTGATTTTCCAATATTATTGTGCGTTCAAACTTTTAAGGTATTTCGTCTGAAATAAGTATATGTATATTGCATTTCTGTAGAACAATGATTCGCACCCATTTTGAAATTGCCACCTACTATACTGTAAAGCTTCTAGGACATTCACTATAGAACCGGGTCATTGTTGCCGCCAGGGAGTGAAGAGGAAAAAATGTATTTCGCTTTGCGAATAACCGTGCTATGAAATGCCGCACAACTGGAGAATTTCAACAACGGATATAAATAACACTTTCCTTAGGTTATTTAAAGCGGCAAATGACCACCAAACCTTAATCTTAGCAGACAAATGTGCCAATGAAAACCGTAAACGTGGATTGTTAATGAAAATGTTGGACCAAAAAGTTTCAATAAAATATATAAAAATTTTGGGCGGGACGAAGTTCGCCGGGTCTGCTAGTACATTTATATAAATATGTAAACATAGTGAACGGTTGAAAACGGAAAACATTTTGTTGAAAGAAGTCGAAGCTGCGAAAGACAGGACCATTGCAGAACTTCAGATAAAGCTTCAAAAGATAATGTCCGAAAATCAGCAAATTGAAAGCAAGCTGAAGTTAGTTTTCACCCCGAGCCAAATACTTAGAATAAAAAACAACGAAAAACGTATGACTTGGTCTGAAGCCGATGTAGCCCAGTCAATTACGCTATACTCTGCAAGTGCGAGAACTTACAAGCTGCTTCGTCGTACAAATTTCCCTTTGCCGTCCATAAGGACTTTACAGAGGTTTGCACAGAAGCTAGACATTTCTCCTGGTATCAATGACCCGGTGCTCAAGCTATTGGCTGCTAGCACTCGACTTAGCATCAATCAAATCAATCAAAATCAATCAATTATGTACAAGTAGCGATGCTAGAGGTTTGTTGAAACTAGTTACCTGGAATTCGAAGATATTATTTAATATAAATATACTTATAACCAGGGCTTGTAGGAAAGTGGAAGCAGCCAGTATATTTTGAGTTTGACCAGAAAATGACTAAAGCGATCATATTTGACATTAGTAAAAGAGTAGGACAGTGTAACTTTAACGTCGTGGCAGTGGTAAGCGATCTGGGAGGTGGAAACAGCGGATTGTTTACAGAAATAGGAGTAACAGCAGAAAATCCCTGGTACTATGGCCGAAGCCAAAGACGAAGTTCGGTCGTTCTCTAGTGATGACGAATAAGAAATTCTCTTCTACAGATTTTTGTACGAAAACGAAAAGGTGTTTGCTTTCGCGGATGTTCCCCACCTTATTAAATTAGTAAGGAACAATTTTGAATCATGGGTTCTGGATAGATGGTAAAGGTGTTACCAAAGGCCTTGTAATGAAAATTTTATCTCTCACATCAACGGACGTTACTATAACTCACAAAATTGCAGCAAAACATCTTCGCGTTTACGATATCGAACGGCAAAAGGTATCACTTGCAACAAAATTGTTTTCTCACACGATGGCAATGGCAACGACGAGAATAGCAAGTATGGGTGGCTTAAACGGTGAAAATTGGAAAGAATTGTCACGGTTATTAAAAGTTGTAAGCATAAATGGTTATATTATACTATATAACTGTTATCCTAAATGTTTAAAATGTATTACTTGTAGACAAATGATTGGTTCGATGTTCTCAATGTGCGGGTTCCAAAAGATGGTTGTCGAGAACGGCGTCATGGGTTTGGCTTGGCGCTTGACAAGCAGATGTAAATTTTAAATGGACGAGCTTATAAAAAAACTCCGAGTAATTGGAAAATATACTTTGTTGCCTTTTCAAAAAGGTATGGGAATGAAACTTTTATTTTTCCTTCATTGACTTACATATTTTTTATTTATAAAGGTATTTTGCAAACAAACAATGCTTTACGTTTGCTTTACACAGAATTGAAGCAAAAATACGGACTGAACTACATACTGACCTATAGACTGAACCAAGACGTAATTGAAAACTTTTTTGGCCTTATTCGAACTAAGGATGGCCTTAACGACCACCCAGACCGTGAAAAGTTCCGGTTCCGGCTGCGTAACTATTTGCTTGGATGTAACCAAGGCGCCTTGTCAAGCAACACAAACACCCAACCAGACAACACTCCAGATTTGGGATCTATTGAAAGTCCCCTTACTGGTAATCGCTCTACGTGTATGGCTTCTTTTAGTTCACATCCAACTTGATTTACAGGAATACTTCTACGTTCATTTCGCAAGGAAATAGATATTGGCAAGAAAGAGCCGCGGACAGATGAAGAAGAATCTTTGGAGATGGACGGCTTAGACACCTAGCCGGATACATCTGCTTCAGACTAAAAAATCAAGAGCCTGATTTGATTGACACCAGCCAGGCCATATTCTCGTGGGTAGATCATGTATCTGAAGGAGGCTTAACCAAACCCACGGAACGTATGTTAGAGCACATTACAGCCCTGAACACAATTTTTAAGGAGACAAATCGAGAAGGGCTTTTCCTTACGGAAGGTTACTTGCAGAAACATCTTGAGGCGGCGAAACATGTAGACTGCAGTGATAAAGTAAAACAAATATTTTATAATAATATATCCTAATAAGAAAAGGAAAATGAATAAAATCACTACCTAATTTCCGAAAGCACTTTATTCACATTTAATTTGTACGAATATTACTATATTAATCCAGTTTCATGTGAACTTATAACATTTTGTTGCTATAATAAGCTTTTTAAATATTTTATATCAAAAATGCCCATTTAATATTTATTCCTAA